CCCATGTACTTGAAAATGACACTGGGATGTGCCCATGCTGAAGCATGGACCTGTTGTGTGCATTGCATGTGACACTTTCATATTGGGAAAATTGTGTCTGTTACATGCTGACTACAGTTGTTTTTAAGCAATATTTCTGTTACGTTTTGCTATTTAATGAGGGCTCATTTTCATTGGATCTACATTTTAACATTGTACAGTTTGTGTGACTTGTAAGTTTTTAATAAAATTTGTTGAATGTCAATTTTTTTTTAGTCTACTTTGTTCCTAATGTATAGGCTAATTTAAATGGTGACTCAACCCTTTTAACTAAAGATATATTGGCTTTAATGAAAAGAACAGTACTGCTAAAAATCTTTGCTATTTTTGTGAACTTTTTTTTTTTTTTTAAGCTCAGGGCTGAAGCTGCACCTGTTTGGCACAAGACTAATCACAGAAGTAAACCTTATAAAGTCAATACAAATTGTTTAAAAGGATAGTTTAAGCTAGAGACTTTACACTGTTTGAGAAATAAAACCACTTCTGAGACTGAGCCTCCCTATCTATAGATAAAAACGAAGTGCACCATTTGTGCTACAAACCAATGTTTTTAAAATTCCAATAAGTGTAAAATGCCAGTTTGCAATGTCAAGCAGCATAATGCATTTTTTTTTTAAACTAAAGTAGATGGAAATGAGACATTCAGTTTACTAGTGACAATGCTTACTCTTAAAGTAAGGTTTAAATGGTCAATGGCCTGAAGTTTGTATAACTTTTAAATGTGTGTCTTTGTACAAGGGTTATTTTCTTTCAGAATTTAGGACAAAAGGGCTGTTTTTTAACTCGAAGCTGTTGACCATTCACTCACAGTGAGGGACTAATAATTAAACCTGTGAGCTGTGCATTGACTTTTTTTTGAAAAACTGGTCAGACCTGTTGCTCGTGTTGCACAAAGTTCCTATGTCATTGTGTTGATGCAAATTTCAGACTCAACCTCTCACAAACCAGGAAGCAGTGTTTCCTCTAATTCTGTTTTTGGTAGAAAAGTCTTTAAGGCTTTAACAGGCACATTAATGAATGACCAATGTATTAATGAAAAACTTTCCCATACTTCCTTAATAGAAATCACACATTACAAATTTGCACAAGAATAGCAAACAACTTGCTTAAGAAGGGACAAATCTAACTTGTTTTTTTAAGAGATATGTTTACACAAAAGATTGGCTGGCACTCCCTTGCTTTCAGTTCTAGTCCCCCAGTATTTTTCCCAGAAGAGCTTTGAGCATTTGTTTCTCAGACTAGTTTAGACAGGTTTGGCGGATCACAAATTGCCCTCCCCCAACCGCGCTCACACCTGAGTTGGGAGTCACTCTGTGTTTCCATGGCAGAAAAGGAGGGATTAAATAACAAAGCTTGTCAGATGAGTGTAGGTCACAGTGGGAAGGGACATTTTTGCTAGGATGGTTCACTCCTCACCTGTGTTTCAGTTCACATTTTCGATGATACTTAAAAGACACGTGATTCGGTTATGATCAAATGTAGCTAAGCGATCTAATTTTGTTACATCCTTGCCTTTAGAGTATACAAGTGAAGTCACCATCTTAAAGTTTTCAAGTATCAGGTGTTTATCTAGATCACTTGACTTGATTATTTAAGAAAAATAATGACTTGAATTGAAGGGTAAATGGTTCCAAGTAACATACCAAAGTGATTAAAAAATGATTTGATTCAGTGATTCAGTGAAGGGAGGGAGTCTGCCAGTAAAACAAAGAAATACTGTAACAACAGCAGCCAAGTGGAAAGATGTGACATGGGGAAAACACCTGTATGTTTTTAATTCCACTGGTTTGGGAAATAGCATGAAGTGTAGCAACCAACCAACTGAGTCAGAACAGACTTTTGATATAATGCAAAACTAGTTTTCACGATCAGAGTACTTATTAAAAACCAAACAATCATTAATGTCCAGCAAAACCTTTTTGATCAATCTCTCAATGATATGTTGATTAAAATCGATTGTCTCATAATAATTAGGTGAAGTGTAGCTGTCTTGAATTCCTGAACAGTACGCATTATACAGTAGGTACACTAACATTCACATTTAGGGCGGAAAGATTTTTTAATCGAATACTCTTATCCAGAGAGAACAAATTAAACTGATCAAAAGTGACAGTAAATACACACAACTTTCTACTCATTAGAGGACTCATCTATTCATTGGAGAGTCCTGAATACATTTACAAAGTTTTCAACAAAAAGGTTTCAAGATTGCATATTAGAATTCATGTGACACTGAAGACTGCAGTAATGATGCTGAAAATTCAGCTTTGCATCACAGAAATAAAATAAATTTTAACATATTTTTTTTTATATTTTATAAAATAAATATTTATTTTAAATTGTAATAATATTTCACAATATTACCATTTACCGTGTTTACTTTGATCAAATAAATGCGGCTTATAGGGGAATATAGAATTTTTTTTATAAACCCCTTTCACAAAATACTAATGACCACAAATCTTTGAATGGTAGTGTATTAATATAACTTAGGATGAATTTTTATTTTAAAAATAGATTCGTTTTTTTTTTTTTTTTTTGAGTAAGGAAATTTATTTCAAATTGCATAATAGACAATTTATAGAAAACACACAGAAAAAATACATACAATGTATGACGTTATCTGTCATCCTTAATGAATTATGAAATATAATGCTTTGGCTTTTGAAAAATCTTTTGCATTGAATCTCTTTATGAATCTCACAACCCCAGTTCAGTACACCACATCTCTAAAATACTGCAACCACACTATGACTCCATGTTGGCTTCTGTGCCAAAAACCACACATCTTTTGCCTTAATACACTTCCTGGTAGTATTGTGATCCCTACATTCTTTCACCACAAGCTTAAACATGCAAAGATGAGGTATGATTCAGAGTGGAGGGAAATAACTAGTATTTTTCATTCTGCAATCATGATTTACTTCCAGTTTCATTTAAAAACTCCAGCAACATGTCTGAACAATGTATAGCTTACATATACCTTTTGAGTGTGAGAAAACTTGTTTAGTTAGTGTTTAAAGCTTATATATTTCTTTGAAATTGTTGCTAGAGCCTGAAAACCACAAAAGGTTCTTATACATATCAGAATACCATGGCATGACAAAAGTGCACTTTGATTCTCATGAAACTTTTCAAAGAACAGTTTTGGCCATATTTCATCCCCAAATCATGAAAAAAAAAAAGATTATTTGCTTTGATATTTATTTTCATAAAAAATATGTTCACACATTTTCACACAAAGTTGGATTTCCTTGTGCAAAATCGAATTGGATAAAAAAAAAAGTTTTCGGACCACTGAATATGCTGGAGTATGTTTTTGGATGAGCGAGGAGGATTTTTCTTGAAACCCAAACAACATGTAGGGATGTAGGTTTCTTTTTTGACCCCAAAACTCAACTAATCTCTGCAATTCTCCATCTGGGAGCCTTGGAATCTTTGCCATTCAAACTTTCCTCCTCACCATGCATTAAGACTGTATGGACACATGTCCTCTTCCTGGCAGATTCATAACATCTTTAGTTAATTTGAACTTCTTAATTTTTGCCCTGATGATGGAAATCTGGATTTTCAACTCTTTAGCTTTTTTATGACAGGCTCTTTATATTTTGTAAAGCTCAACAATCTTTTGCTGCACATCATAACTATATTCTTTGGTTTCCCTCATTGTGATGGACGAATTTGGCATTTGAGTTTCCGCATATTTATGTGATATTTTTATTTTACTCTAGGAACAATTTTAGGAAACGATTCCTTTGTTTGGTGACTTTGACCAGCTCATGGGCAGCATTTAAAAAAAACATGGCCACCTGTAGTTGGAAATTAACTCACCTTCAGGTAAAAGTTGATAGAGTTCACATATTTGCAATATTTGGAAGGGACTTGTTCAAAAAGTTGGGTAATACTTTATTCTGATAGTCCCTTTTGAACATGGTTATTACGTTAAATGTTGAAATGTTATTAATTTAATTTGAAATATTTTTAGTTTTTAGTAAAATTTTTAAAACATTTACTCTCTCATAACTTCAACAGAATTTTACAAATAATGTTTAGTTTAACAATAAGTATAATGCCTATTTATGAATTTATTAACTTACTTTATCATATTTAATACGCAAATTTCTAGGGCCTATAAATGATCGGTATGACCAACACTTTGCTGAAAAACCTCTTTATCCACAATCTTCTGGTCTTCAGTCCTCTGATTAATAGCTCATACTTTTTTTTATCAAATAAAGTCCTTTTTGCTCAAAAATCATTAATGATTTTTATAAAGTAAATGCAAGAAAAACATTTACTTGAATGAAGCAACTTGGGTTTACTTAATTATTTATACATTTAAACATAATTATGACATGTTAAAGTAAATGTCAAATATAACACCATAGGCTTTTGGGGAACATTTTCCATCTATTAATTATCATTGATTTGTATATATTAACCATAAAAGCTTGATGTATATGTACGTGTGTGTGTGTTTGAGTGTCTAAAATTATACCCCCCCCCCCCAAAAAAAAAAAAAACACCACACACACACATATATATATATATATATATATATACACACAGTATATATATATCAACTGTATATATATCTATCTATCTATATATATATATATATATATATATATATATATATAAGGGCTGAGCAACGATTAATCGCAATTAATCGCATCCAAAATAAAAGTTTTTGTTTAAATAATATATCTCTGTCTGTAGTGTGTATAACTATTTTGTATATATAAATACACACACATGCATGTATATATTTAAGAAAAATGTGTTGGTAATATATCAAGTATTCATATTTATAAATGATATTAATTCTGTATAAATATATAAAGTATATACATGCAAATATTTCTTAAATAGATACATGCATGAGTGTGTATTTATATATACAAAATAGTTATACAGACCACACACACATATATTATGTAAACACAAACTTTTATTATAGATGCGATTAATTGCGATTAATCGTTGCCCAGCCCTAATATATATATAAATGGTGTATGAATAATCAAGTAAACCCAAGTTGCTTCAGTATACAGGATAAAAACATTCAAATCAAAAATTAAAGTCATGTTTAAAAAACAAACAAAAAAACATTAAATTGTATTATTTATGTCCTATAATATATCAATAAATAATTTTTCTGATGTCTCTTTATGGTCTTACCCTTTTATAGATATATCTCTCATTTCATTTCCAGATTCCCTTTGATGTAAATCAGTATATTGTAAAGATGGTTTTGGGCACTAGCTTATAACTTAGTAATGAATTAGAGAGTGTAGTGTGATACAGCCTGAGTGAACACCAGCACACATGGTCCAGCAGGGATGTGTTAAAGAAGGGTTGGTGTTTTGCTGGGTCTGCAGGCAGCAGGAGGAGACTTGCTCCTTGATTCCTTGTTCTTCATCTCCGCAGACAGGGCAAGAAGCAAGGCTGGGGCCGACAGGTGGTGCACCGCTGCTTTTTGTTGTTGTGTGCAGTTAATGTAGCTGGCTATGAGCAGCGTCAGGTCTCGAACCTGAAAAATACAAAGGTAGCAGAGAAATGCTGTGGGATACACTTTATGAAATGTGCATGTATGTTTGCTGTTGCAGCATTTCAATTCTCTAGCAGCATATGAAATGTTAGTTGTAAGAAATGTAATGTTCATGAACGGCAAACAGAAGTATTTATCAGGCGTGTTTCTGTGTACTTTGGTGTGTGTGTGTGTGTGTTCTCTTTGTTTCTTCAACTACAGACTACTTTTCAAATGCCTTTTATGTATGAATTGTTATGTTTAAAACTATGACGGTCTAAACCAAAAGTTATGTAATCTATACTTTCGTTCAAGTATGCGGCTAGAAAGATGTTAATGTTTTTGTTGAGACATGTCCAAGGCTGAAATAATTTGATCAAAAATACTTTAAAATATTAATATTGTGAACTGTTGATAATTGTTTCTATTTTCACATGTTTTAAAATGTAATTTATTTCTGTAATGGCAAAGAATGTTCTGCATCATTACTTCAGTCATCAGTCTCATATGATCCTTCAGAAATTATTCTGATATGCTGATTTGCTGCTCAAAAAACCTTTACAGTCTTAAAAAAAAGTGTTAATATTTTTGTAGAAAATTATTTTTAAAAAATCAACGGCATTTGGTTATACTTTATTTTAAGGTGACGTACTTACATTGTACTTAAAATTAAAATAATCAATTAATAAATAAAAATATAAATGAACTCAATTTTATAACTATAGATTTTGGTTTAGGGTTAAATACAGTTTCACTTCATTTTGATGGTCCCTTTAACACATTCTGTTGACTGTAAGTAATGCTGCACCTACATGTATCTACTACTGTAACTCTCATTATTGTTAGAGTATTAGTAGACTGGTAGGGTTAGTGTTAGTAGACTAAGTTGACAGTTGAAAAGTTACTTATAGTCAACAGAATGTTCAAAAGGGACCATCAAAATGAAGTGTTACCTTAGTTACTTGGAAGTATGCATAATTTACTATAGTACATGTAGTAACGTGTAACTATATCACCTTAAAATAGTGTTACCCAGCATTTTGTTTTTTAAAGTAAATCTTTTGAAGCATTAGAAGTATTATTACTAGTCACTTTTGATCAGTGTGATGCATCTTTATCCTGAATAAAAATGTTCTTTAAAAAAAATCTTACTGACCCCAAACATTTGAATGTAGCCTATAAAACATCTCAATATTTATCATGTGAAAATTATGATATTCTTTTTACACAGCTGTCCCACAATTGTAATTACCACAACAACCATTTTCTTTTTAACAAAACAAAAACAACAACAACAACAAACAACACTAATTTAAGAGCACAATAGATACCTTAGATGGAGTCATAGCAAACAGATGCTTCTCTGTAGACTTATCTTTGGATGTGTTGGTGCCAGAACTTAGAGCTACTACCAGCATAAAGTCCTGACCACATGCTCCAAACGTCACAATGCTTTTTTGAGGGTAAGATCCAAGGACTTTCTAGAAGACACAAAGGGAAGACTCATCTTAGCTCTTCACTAATATGAATTGTTGTGAAACAACACCAACAACTGCTGCAGCTCTGAAAAGAACATGTTCACTTACTATAGAGTTAAACTCCAATATGCTGACTCCGTCTTCATGCACTGCCAGCCAAACACGCACATTCTTCTGTGGAGATGACGTTACGGGCTACAGGGAGAAAGAGAGTATGGCTAAGACAATGCCACAGCATTTACACTTTTTTGAGTATTTAAATATTGAACAAAATTGTACGCATCGCCTTTAATCTTTGAAGGAGACTAAAGGATTACCAAGAACGTCACACCAAGAATGACAACTATAAAGATAACCATATCAGAACACAATTTCGTTCTGTTTATTATAAGCACTGCTGCAGTTTTGTTGTCTACCACTTTAAATTCTCAGCTCTTTAAAGCAGGATGGAATCTGATTGGCTGTCAGTGTTTTTATTGTTTTCTGCTGGAAAAAAAAGCTTGTTTCTCTGTGCTGTTATTGTTATAGTTGAAGTGTGAACTCTGCAAATTCTTTTAAATTTAGAACAAATTTTAGAACTTTTATTGTTATCTTTATATTTATCGTTATTGGTGTGAAGGGGCATTTAAGGGTCACTCCACCCATTTGCATTAAGCTTTCCATTGTTAGAAACCCAGTTATACTATTGAATGGTCGTGCAACACTCTTTTATTTTCCGCTGAGACGAGAGAAATCTGCTATTTACCCTTTTCACTTCCTCCTACAATGCTGCAAAAATCGTCATTTTACGTCATTGTAGAAGGAAGTGTAAGAGAGGGGGATTTCTGTAAAGACTACAAGCACTTTCAAACCTGCCCATAGGGGGTTGGGCCTAATGCCCTAACAGACCAATCACAGATCAGTGCCAGTGTGTCTGATTTCACCGGCAGAAACGTTTTGAAAAATATGGACGAAGCCACTGAATACGTAGACAGATGCATTATGGAAGATTGGGATTACACATAGTGTCAGCCATCTTTTTTGGAAGCTAAGCTAGCAGGCTCTTGTTCTGTGGAGATAGCCGAGTAGTAACTTTAGGGGTTACCGTCCTCTTTTTCCTGGACATGTCCGGCCGTCAATGTCCGGGATTCAGCTTTTGCTTTCTGCGGTCGCCATTCATTGTTTACATGCACAGCTTTTGTTTCAGTCTAACTGAATTCATTCTGATTGGTGAATCCGAATGTAGTGTTTACATGAATGCTAAACAAGTGATCGGTTGATGTGCGTTTTAATGTTGCTAAGAAAATTCCCGCTCCTCCGTGAGAGATACGAGACCAGTAACTTAAGTCTCACAGCTGTCACTCATCGGTAATCACGCCACCGGCCTCGCGTCATTCTCCACACGGCCCTAGCCTCATCCTGCTCGCCACAGTAAACATGATGAATGGTGACTGTTGAACGCAAAAGCCAAATCCCGGACATTTTGGGTGATCACGAAACACATTTTTGGGCAGACTCATCACGGGGACTCACTATTAGCCTAGACTTCTTGTTTAGCTACTGCGCGGTTACTGGTAGGCGTGGCCGCCTAGGGCAGTGAAGCAAGTGCATTCTGGGAGTTTTTTTCTTTCATCCACATAAGCCAAAAATACATTTACAGTCTTTTCTCAGTCTAGAAAGCTCCAAATAAAAAAAAAAAAAAACACATTTCTTCTACATAAATGACCCATTTTAAATACACATTCATCTTTCCAGAGGTGGAGTGACCCTTTAACTCACCTCAGCCTCAAATAGTTTGGCTCCAAAAAATGACCACTTCCGGGCCACTGTCAGGTAGATTCGTATGCACTCTGATAAACTCCGGCCCCTCAGAGATGCCCAGCGGGTAGAGAGTTTCTGGAGCAACTGCCTGAGAATGCATGCATTTCAGTTGGTAAGCCAAATAAATTCTTTGTGCTCATATAGGAGTTTGTTTCACTGGAGGCATAAATACCTCATTTGTTCCTCAGTGGAGGTGTGTCTGTAATGCTTCGGGTAGAAACGCTCTAGAACCTGTTTGAGGGTCTGGTTAGACTTAGTATGTGCAGCTCCTGAACCACTTGGACTAGAAAATGGGCGCTCAAAGTCCCCAAACTCCACCTGCATGACACAAAACCCATTAGGTTTACGTACTTAAAGGACATTAAGCTTTTTTTAGGTACATTAAGATGTTTTGGATTATGGCATTATTTCAGTAAAAAAAAAAAAGGACATTTTCTCCCCAAATTCTCATTAACGTAATATGTTAAGACATATTTTTAGTAACTGCCATTTATCCTCCATTAACAAATTACTATAATACAATATTTACTTAAATGAGCACGAATTTAAAGCAGTAAAACAAATACTACTGTGTATAAATACTCTACATTTTAAATATTTTTTTGACATGTTACAGTAATGACACTGATTTATTAAAATAATATAAAAATACACAAAAAAATGTATGGTACCTAAAATATAGCACATTTTCTTTAGAGGTCCTGTGATATTCTATTTATATAGAAATTACACCATGCCATCATGATTTGTTGTTGCTGCTTTTTAAATAAATATAGGAAAATAAATAAATCTCAAATATAGGAATCTATTGATTAAATATGAATTATATGTTTGAAACTATGACATTCTAAACAAAAAGTTAAATAATAATTCATTAATTTGTTATGTATCACGTTAAAAAGATTTATATAATTTTGACAAAGATTACAAAAATTCACGTTTTTTATGTGGGCTTTGATTAATTGTAATGAAAATGTTAGAATATAAAAACTAAAATTATCAGTAGCCAAAACTGAGCTAATTGTATTTACAGGTGCTTTAAGTGATCACATCCACAGAGTCATTTTCTGCATTTGAATTTGCTGACGTCGGTTTGGCCGCTGTGCATTTTGGAGAGAGGGTGTGGGGTTGAAGAAATGTAGTGGGCTGTTTAATTCATTGATAAAAAGTGGGATGAAACTGGACAGTATGACCTGGACATGTTCTTGACAGGCTTGTAAAATTTTCCAGTAATATAACAGTACCTGAGCAAGCAGGGCGGCCATCTCTAAAGCAAGCTCTTTGTTGACAGGGAAGTGACCAGCTGTAATCTCCTCATTTGTTTGGTATGCCAGAAGCAACCGCTCTCTCTCGGTCTCTCCTCTCATCTGCTGGGAGAAGTACAACCTACAGGGAACAAACACAAAGTGCAGGCTGTTGGATGTAGGCTTGTTGATGATCTTCTGTTTTAGAATCTGGGGCGGGATTCACAAAACATTCTTCTTAACTGCCATTTTCTAACTTAAGAAAAAAGATACGAATATTTTGCATTCCCAAAAACTTTTCTTAAAAAGGTTATTATCTTTTTTCTTAAGACAACATTTAAGAAGCTTTCATATTCCTGAAAAGAATGTTCTTAAAATCATCGTAAATAACTTCTTAAAGTTAGGATAAGTCAAGTCAAGTCACATTTATTTATATAGCGCTTTTCACAATACAGATTGTATCAAAGCAGCTTCACTGTGATAACATGAAAGTAGCACAACACAGATCAACAACATTGCTAAACACTAAATAACCCCAACTGAGCAAGCTCAAAGCAAGCCAACCTCCAACCTGTCTTAAATCTCCAAAGACAAGATGTTTAATGAATTATTTGAGTTGAATAGTTAACAAATTCATTCCTTCAGTGAGCTTATTGTTTCTGCCCTAAATTATTACATTGTTTAAATTAATATTTTTTTTGCTAACTGTGATTTGTACATACATTTCTGAAATTCATAACTAAGACTTAAACTTAAACTGAAGCATTACAACATAACACTAGCTACATATAATACATATTACTAGTGTAATATCAGCTATGCTAATTATTTCCCATCTGCCTTTCTGCTGTTATCTCGGGACGCTTGTCCCGAGAAAAATGGCGTTCGTCAGGTCCAGTTTTGTGTCCAGCCTCTCACGGGGATTTCGGATGCCCCAACGCCTGTGATGAGACGACTCAACGCCTGTGATGAGACGACTCAACGCCTGTGATGAGACGACTCAACGCCTGCGATATGTTATGGCGCCGTTTGATTCATAAACAATATTTATATTTAATATTTATATTTAAACAATATGAATGTAAGCCAGAGGAGAACTGGCCCCCGACTGAGCCTGGGTTCTCCCAAGGTTTTTTCTCCATCCAATCTGATGGAGTTTGGTTCCTTGCCACTGTCGCCTTGCTTTTGGCTTGCTTTGAGCTTGCTCAGTTGGGGTTATTTAGTGTTTAGCAATGTTGTTGATCTGTGTTGTGCTACTTTCATGTTATCACTGTGAAGCTGCTTTGATACAATCTGTATTGTGAAAAGCGCTATATAAATAAATGTGACTTGACTTGACTTGACTAGTGTCAGGAATGTGGGCAAGTGTCACAGATCAATCATTAAACATTGGTCACTGGAGTGGTTGTGTATACATAATGCATTCACTCTAGCTAGAACTAGTGAGGCAGCACACACACATTCACTCTATGGTACATTCAAATCACACCGCTGAGTGATTAAATCCCATCAAGCCATTTGCATCGAAAATAGTCTGAGCGCTTATTACGATAACTACAGAATCTGCAGGCAGCGCAAAAAGATGGGATTTGAGGTGTTTTTCATTCAGCGAGTCTTCAGCAATACCTGCCTTTCAATCAAATAACACCAAAGCCTTTCATTTTCTTCTTAGTGCAATTCTTGAAATTCTTAAAATGTTCTCAAATATTTTCTTAAGGAACATTCTTACGAACGTCTTAGAATTTATATTAAGAATTTTCTTGAATCCGTCCTCTGTACTCTACCTGTTCTTGTAAGTGAGTTTCACCGTCCTGGCATTCTCAGATTTGCCTGTGTGCTGCTCCTTCGAGGCCTGCTCCCATTTTGCAATAATGTCACAGATCTGAGGACGCAACATATTGCTTTGATTAAAGATGGCTACAAAGTACAATAATTCACTGTCCAGTAGGGAGTGTGTGTGTGTGCGTGTGTGTCTGACCTTCAGGTTTCCCTGAAGACAGTGCTCCAGGTCTTTGCCAGTGGGGTCATCAGAATAAAGGCTGAAACCGGACTGACCAGTTTTCCTCATGCCTGTGTCCTGGTTCAGCCGACTCTGAAACTCCTCCACTGTGGATGAAGCATCAAAACCAACAACCTGCCATACAAAGACAGACTGTTAGCTTAGACTGTTAGACAAGATGGTGAATTACCAATAGTTTGTATGTCATTTTTAAAGACACAGTTCTTACAAAAATAAAACTTTCCACATTATTTATTCACCTCCATGATGTTCTAAACTGATATTTTTGTTCCGTGGAATATAAAAATAGTTCCCAGACTTTTGGCAAATGAATTTCCATGACTTTTTCTTCTTTTTAGATAAGAATAAGAATAAGAATAAGACTTTTTCTTATTCTGAGGGTTATTTTTATTTAATCATTATGTGGTGTGGATCAGTAAGGTTTTAAATACTTAATAAAGCTAAGAAAATAATACTTATTCAGCAAGAATTTCATAAATAAAGCAAAAATGATGGTAAAAAATAAAAACATGTATAATCTTATAAAAGGTTTACATTTCAATAAATGCTGTTATTTGAAATTTCTATTGATCAAAGGAATCCTGAAACAAATGTTTCAGTTTCCACAAAAAGCAACTACTTTCAACATTGACAATAATAAGAAATGTTTCTTGAGCACCAAATCGGTATATTAGAATAATTTCTGAAGGATCATGTGTAGACTGGAGTAATGATGCTGATAATAATTAAAATTTAATAGTTTAATATATTGCACTAATATTTTACAATATTACATTTTTTAATTTTTTTTTTTATTAAATAAATGCAGCCTTGGTGGGCATAAGATATTATTTCAAAAACCCTATTTTTTTACCCTAAAATTTTGAACTGTAGTCTATCAGTAATTTTAAGGAAGTATCTCTGACAAGTCCTCCACACAAGAACAAGAAAAAAACTAGAAAAAATAAATATATTCTCTAAAAGTGAATTATATTAAATTAAATGAAAATTCCCTGAAATTTTCAAGTTTTACTTCCCCATGGGAATGCTTTCTGAAGAATTTTCATGCAGCTTTTTTTCTATACAGTCATGCACTTAAAAAAACAACTTGCATGTTTTGCATTCTTTGGATATCAAACACAATATGTTGTTAAAGTCATGCATTAAAGCTACAGAAACACCACGCGATGATTCATAGAGACCGTGTCAAGATCCAGAATGCACAATAAACAGTTTTAAATCATCCACATGTCTCTTGCTCTCTATTCCAAGTATTCTAAAAGAAATTCTCAGATGGCTTAGGATATAACGCACACATAAATGCTAAAACAACTTTCATAATACTTGTATGACTTTTTGGTCATTTTTGGTCACTCATATTGAAATGAGCTGCATAAAGATTTAAAAGAACATCAGGATGAGTAAATAATGACAGATCAATGTTAATTTCTTGATGAACTGTTCCTTTATCATAAAGTATTGTAGAAATGTGTGGACCTGGTAGGTATTGTTAAGGAAGTGTACTGGCACGCTGAAGGGCAAAGAGTGGTGGTAAGGGTTCCTGAGTAAGATTGATAAGATCTCCATACGTGAAGATCGGGCTTGCCGATCCCCTTTTTGCTGCGTCCGCTCCAGTGAACGTTGGCAATAAATTGCATACTTTCCCACCTCCGTCCTGGGAACAATTCAGAAATTGAACAACAGTCAGATTAAGTAAGTGGAGTGTGCTACATGGAATAGTGTGATAATTGATCTGATTTACCTTGAATCTCCATATCTTTTGAGATGAACTTGCAAATACCAAAGAGTGGGGTGTGTGGGCAGGAAAAGACCGACACACAGAGCCAGAAACTGCCACCCCTGTGTTAGAGAAAATCTAAACAAGTCATGGACATCCTCATAAATCACTCCCAAGTTTGGCATAAAACACAAAACAAAGCCAAGCACCCCTCCTAGTGGTGTGTGTTCGCATCACAAGCATGTGATTTTCTTACCTGCAGGGTTCCAGGCCCTCCGTGTGGTTGCCTCTTCTGTGTCTGTTTGATAAGCTGGCAGTAGATCTCGTTTTGCAGCTCTGGGTGGGTGAGACACACTTGTAGAGCACACTGGGCAAGAGTCACGTGATAATCTATGGCTGGAGTATCAATGGCCACATTAATGAAGAGCTGACATGTCTGTAAAGAGGAGAAAAAATAGTGTTTTTTCCTGTGTTTTGGGGCTATGCTCCCCAAATGTGTAATGGATGAACACACACCTTAAATAGCTTGATGGCTTCAGTTTGTAGAGCCTGTGAAGGCAGGGTGGTGAGTGGAGAAGACAGTCCTTCCTTCGTGAAACACAGCATTGGGTGTCTCCAGAGAGGAGACCCTGAGAAGGAATCGGACAAACATGGGCATTAAACTGTTTTTATACAGCAACCATTTAAAAGGTCAGCACAAGGTCAAAATGAACAACTTGAGAATAAAGCAAATTTATGACATATTGTTTGCCATGGTTACATTTTAATAACATAAGTCAAATCAGTCTCAGCCTCAAGCACTACACCCACATGCCACAGTCCTCTCATTTAGGGATGTTAACCACCACACAAATGCTTGGGGCCCATGATTTCACTGCATCTTTTATTTAATACAGATAATAAATTCAATCTGACTATATAATAATAATTATTTTCATTATTAAGGTTAGGACAACAGTAAAATTACAACATTAATATGTGTAGCTGCCTTAATTTCTTTGCTTTCAAGTGCAAAACTATAGAGGTTTTATTTTAGCATAAAACCTTTTCATTTGTTTACAACAGATTTATGAGAGCTTATCGTTGTTAGGAAGATAGTTGATGTGGATTGCATTTTCAAATGCAGGTTATAAGCAACCCAAATGAACTTGCCGAGAAGGAATTTGCAGGAAGCAGCATTTACTGTGAACCAAGTTACTCCAAAACATTGAAAATACCGGCTCATGAGCAGTAAGCCTTATAAATATGGAAAAATTACATCTCCGTCTTCAAATCCAAACTTTGCTGGAGACCCTAAAAAAAAGCTAATTTGCTAGACTAACATGGTGGAAAATACTATACCAGTTTTAAACATCCGGCCCTGGAAGATGGATCTAATATTCTGGGATTTGATTCCCATAGCTTATTTTTCAAGAGGCTGATTTTACTAGGAGGCATGTCTTCTCCTTCTACTGCATGTCTCTGATGTAGGACACTCCATCACAGTGAAACATATGAAATGAATAACACGATCATCCAAAATTAATCTGTTAGTTTCTTACCTGGGTCTCCCTGCATGTTGAGAAGTTTACCAACCAGCTTCTCAAACTCAGTTCCCACCTGCCCCACTGTAGTGCCTGCTGCCACAGACAGATGGTAAAACCAGGCTGTCTACAGGAGAGGAACACATAAAAGCAACAATTTGATCATAAACTATCCAAATGTTTAGGATTATCTTTGAATTTTCTTTGCCGTAATGATATTAGATCCCTTGTGAAAAAGAAGTACACTTACTAAAGCATACTTTTAAAAAGAGCACTTATTATGAAAATAACATACTTTAAAATAATATATTTAAGAGAGAACTGAATTAAATGTTTTTGGACAGTTAACATTTATTTACAATGAAATAAAAACATTAGTTTTTAACAAATTAGTTGAAATCAAGAGTGTTTTTTTGACCTACTTAAGTAGTATTAGTACATCTTTATAATTTCAATAGTTAGGAGTACAAGCACAGAAGGCGTGATTAAATATATACAGTATGTTGTCCATTTAAAATGAAGAGACAATAATTTGTATCATTATAATAATAAAATAATAAAATAAACACGTGTTAAACTGCAAGCATATGTTAGATGGCAACACAAAAAATGATAAAAAAGAAAAGGGCCTTGATATAATTGCTTCAGATAAATAAGGTTTTGAGCTCCAAACTGTTAGGGTTACGTTCTATTCTGTTTTGGTTTAGTTTTAAGTGTTCCTAGTTCTTGTATTTATTTCCTGTCTTATTAAGTTGACCAAGACTGTGACCAAAATAACCCCCTATACCCTTAAATAGTGCACCATTTTTAACCGATGTACACTCAATGGCTATATTATGCACTGTGAGGGCTGTGCTGAATTAATTCCCACATCTGACCAGAAGAAGGTGCCTGCAGCTGAAATCCATTTTCCAAACCGCTGGTCCAGTGTGGGTACAGTAATAAAATAGATGTATAAATAATTGAATATTAAATAGTTTAATTAAGGTTTATACTGTGCATGCTAGTTTCAATGACAGAGCAAAAGATAAATCTTTTTCTTTTTTCTGTAGCTGCCAGTTTGCAAAGTTTCAAATGTTTATTAAACCACAAGCACAAACTATGCAAAAGTGGCAGCCCTTCTAGCATGCTCAGTTTTCCGAATTTGCGTACTCATTTTCAGTTACTCCTTCAAGTGGATTATATTAGTGGAGTAATGTAGGGAATAGTGAATGTAGGTATATGGGGCAATTTCGAACACAGATCTAGTTTCCTAGAGCATGCCTGTAAGTTACTGCTACAAGTAGACCCAGCTCAAACTCATCATTGCTGCAACCAACATGACAGAAAAACAGACATTAAAATGGATCTGGCAGCAGTTTTTCCTCGGACCAGATACTATTATGTGTTCTATTTCCCAGAATCGCATGGAGATTGAAGCATATGTGGAGAAACTCCTGGAATACTGCCGCCTGACATCAGTGGATGATTTTTCTCTGATGGTCTGTTTATGGAGTGGGCTTGGCGAGAACATTGGCTGTTGGATGCCAACAGGAGATTCCAGCTTGACCTTGGCATAGGATCTGAACACTGTGCTGTGGCCATGTGGCTCATCATTTACCATCAGTGAGGCGGAGGACAATATCCCCACACAGCTACAGCCATCCCAGTCAACTCCCACCATCCTGATATTGTCAATCATCTAAAGAGTCAGAGCAATTACCCATCAAAGATCCAGAACTAGAGTCGGCTGCTGACGCTGAGCCAGAGCCTATTCCCGCCAGTCTGACCAGGTGTGTGAGCTGGTCCCATGTCTGTCCCAGAGGGAGTTTGGTGGAATTGGACAGCCCAGAGTGGCTGATTGACTTGAGCGACACAGAGCCAGCTTCTGTCCTTGTTTCTGACCTTGAGCAACCTTCTTACCTGCTGATTACCTCAAGCAGTTTAGATAATTCCAGAACTTTGCTGTTTTTTTTCCCAGCACAAAGCCAGTTTCGTTGCCAAGCACTAATCCTATGTCATTGATTATGCTCCCACTCCCACCTCCTCTAACCATGCCATCCAGTAATTTGGCCCTATCTCCACCGGCTCCCTTCAGCCCTGCCTCGGTCTGCCGAGTCCCCATCTCCACACAACCCTGGGATTCATGCCTCAGCCTTCCAGTACAGCGATGTCAGCCTGAGTCATTGCCTCTTCGAATCTGCCTGGGTGCCCACTTATAATGGCTTGGTCGCCCTCCTGGTTCCGCCTGGCTTATCCACCAAAGCTCCACCGTGGATCTTCATTATGACTCTGCTCTGGGTCATTCCCAGGCTCCTTCCTCAATCGTCTCCTCCATGGTGGTTCCCTCTGTCAGCTCCCTCTTGGTCACACCACATTCTAGCTCTGGAAGGGGGTGTAATGTCAGGTTTATGTTCTGTATTGGTTTAGATTTAAGTGTTCCAAGTTCCCATGTTTTTTTTCCAGTTTCCCCTTAGTTGACCTACTTTCCTAGTGTGTGCCTGTTAGTTACCATAGCAGCCTTTTGTGTCCACCGGCCCCTTGTTAATTTACTCATTTAGGCCACTACTGCTTCTCAGTAAAAACTGAGACCTTTTGCTACGTTTGCACCTCCCGTCCAAACTAAAATGGAAAAAACAAAGACCTAAAACGGAGAAGTTTAGAAACGCTGCAGCTCGGTTTTGAATCTCCGGACGTTCGTTTTAGTGAAGGCGGGACAAAACGGAGGAGTTTAGAAACGATGACGCAGAGGCTCACGCTCGGCTCCATGATTGGGTGTCATCAGTCATGACGTGTCCTTCCCTGATTCGTCAGCCACTGTTTACACCGGCACGTGCATGCCCAGTGTTGGTGAATGGTCATGTGATCCGCATTTTCAGTCGTTTTAATGTGGACGGAGATCAATTCTAATATGCAGATAAAACACTGGTGAGGACGTATTCGTTTTAATTCTCCGTTGTTAAACAAAAACGCAGTAGTGTGGATGCCTTAGTCTGTGTATATTGTTGACATTTTTTTCCTAGTCTATAAAAAACAATTGCAGAACGGGGTTGAATACTATAAAAGCCAGATGTGTTTTTAAGGCCTTATGGCCTATGTGACTACAAAGGTCAAGATGAAAAGTTTGTAGAAGATGACTTTTTTTTTTTAGTCTTTTTTTTAGAGAAAGTTTTTGCTTAGTCAGGGATTTTCAAATAAACGACAAGTGATAGTGAAAGAATAAGACTATTGTTAAGAGGTGTCATGTGGAAGTTTTTTGCCCCTGGGAAGATTGTTGATTGTCCTTGGAGAATGCTACATTTTGCCTATGAGAAAGAGTTTACCATCAATTGCCAGAATGCCACAATTAGAGAGAAAGGGAAAATATGTAGAACTTCATGGTGGGAAAACAGAAGGTACACATTACCTTACCAGACGTTATGTCACTTGGTTATTGCAAAATAACATAAAAACAAGGCATACTAATTGCGTTTTGGCTAATGGAAAATTCTGATGTCCCGCAGGCTTCTCAGCTTTGTTGCTTTGTTCAATAAAGTCTTATTTTGATTTCTGGAACTCTGGAGCTTCATTTGCAAGAAAGAGATGACTTTTCTCCACAACAATATATATTCCCGGTTCAGTTCCTTGTCCATTCTTAAGTCTTTTAGTATGTCTATTTTAAGTGGTTGTTCTTTTCTTGCATGTTGCTCTTTTTTTCCTGTAATTTTTAGTGTATTTGTTACTTTAAAGTTCTACTGCTGCAACTAGATCCTACTCATACTCAACCTTCTAGCAACCAAGGTGACACAAATAATATCTTGAGTCCACACATACACTACATATACTATTGTGATCCTTGTGATCACCTGACATGGGGTTATTTTATTATTTTATAATGTTTCCTGGGTTGCCCATAAAGTGTTAGTATGTTTTTAAGATTAAAAATAGCCATAATTTAGTAATAAAGGAATTTTTTTCCTAGCCTGATTTTAGCCTCTGATTTGAATGCTCTGTTTGAAGGGGCGTGTCTGCTGTGGGATTCAGTGTAACCACCCACTGCTGTGATTGACTGACATGCTTGCATATGAAATAGCTACATATTACATGTGAAACTCTCTCGAATACTTTTACTACAGCTATTATACTGTACATTTTTACTATTACAATTAATGAGATTACTGAATCGTGAGAAGTTTTTGAAGTATTTAGATCTATTCCCATCACATAAAATGTTGCTGTGATGAGCATTAAGCGAGCAGATGACAGTCTGTTAATCGGGAGAATGAAGATCTTATCTTCTGTTAATCGGGAGAATGAAGATCTTATCTTTGTAACACAGTTAATGCACTCTCTCTAATGCTTTCACCAATGCAGGCACGATGATGTGCATACAGTAAGAGCTTCTTTGTGCAGTGTAACGTCCGTCATTGATTTCATAACGAGTTGTCCAGATAAAAATCACTATGTGGAAAGATTGTTCTTTGATTGCTTTCTGTATAATTTGATCACAATTTAAATAAGATTATTTTCATCCTACAAAAAGAAATGATGTGAAGTTGATATTTTAGTCACTGGCTTGACTTATGCATAAACAGTATTGAATGATTTTGAGAGAAAGATTACCTGTCTGAACTTGAACAATTAGGCTACACATCAAAAATTGTTGCTGGGTAGCTCGATCGATTTATTTTTAGACGTTCATCGAGGCCGGTTCTGTATTGGCCCAAGTAGAGGAAACAGGCGTCGGTGGGGAAGTTGTGTTGGCACATTTCCAGAGAAAATAAAATTAACCTATTGTTTCTTCAGAGGCTCGGATGAAGAATCAATAAAATACGTTAATATTCATTTGTACATCCGAACAACTGCCATCAACTGCCATGCTTCGATCGTTTGCAAGACATGATATCTCTCGAGAAAAAACTAAAATCGCGCCTGCATGTTCGCACTTCCCGTTCCTAGCTCATTTTCTGAAAGCAAAGCAGAGAAAGGGGGAGGTTACCTAAATAGCCAAAGCTCGGTTTACACCGTTTGAAAATTCTAGACACGAGGGGACTAAATACAGGCTAGGGGAACTAATATTAATGCTAAAAAACCTCAGAAAGTGGACATTTGTCAGGGGATCTTTAACTTTCAGAAGACTGTTATAAAAATCACATCATAAGATACATTTCAGTTGGATAGCTAATCCTTCAGTTGGATAGCTAAACAGGGGAACATCCACAGTACTTGGACACAGTACTTAGATGATTGTCACAGTACTTAGATGATTGTCGTGTCCTTGTAAATGGGAAATTCCTATTTCCCAATATAAACTTTTAACTGGAATGCCTCCTCAAGTCAGAGTTGAGACTGAAAAAAACTCGGTGGAATTGCAACAGTCCAGAATTTAGAATCCAATATGGCTGTCGTGAACTGTAATAAATTGTGGTGAAACTGTGGTGAAACCGTAATAGATTGTTTACTGGCACTTCTGTTTCTGTACTGTGTCTCAAATTCAGTGGTGCACACAGTACTATCCAACCTCTATTTGTGTACATAATTCTTCGGCATTATCTGAGCAAAATTCCACTTTTTTTGCTTGCAAGAGCAAGCACAACAAATGTTTGCCTGGACGCATCCATTTTAGTTTTCCGACCTTTGTACTGGAACAAGGTGAACTCGTGTGTGATGACATTCAAAGCTCCAACATCCCTTTTCCAGGTAAATGGAATGCAGCATTACTTATATTGTCTAGTTAAGAAAATACTCTCTTAAAAATTAATTTTTCTTTCATTAATATTAGATTATGTGCATGCAAATATTTCTTAAATATACTAGTGCACATCCAATAAAATTAAGTGCACTTCCCTTGCACAAGGGATGTGCAAGAGGTATTTGTGGTGTTTTAAGTATAATTCAGAATGGCTTGCCCACTGTACCTTCTCATGTGGTGAGTCGATGAGCAGGTATGTCAGGCCCTGGCTGATTGACTGAATGGACAGGGTATACTGAGCAGAGACTTCAGCTAAGTCACATGACTTATGCACTTCCTCCACACAAGCCTCCCACAGTTTGATCTGACCTAGGGGAAACTTGGTAGAGAAATACAATATTAGTGCATTCACACATACAAATATACTGTGCAAGATGACTGATTTGAGGAGACAAAAGACCTTGTCCTCTTGACTTCTGAAGTAGTAGAGAATCTTCCCAAAAAGCATACACCACACATGCTTAGAGTAGCCATGTTTCACCTTTAAGAGTCAGAGACAACATATAATACACAGAATACAAGTTATAAACGACTACAAATAAAAAATAAAAATAAAAATTCTTTAATTCTGCAAGGATTAATTTAATTGATCAATAGTGACAGTATATACATTTACTTATGTTACAAAATATCACCATTTCATATAAATAATGTTCTTTTGAATGTTTCAATGTTTCAACTCATGTTCTTTTGAAAATATGAAGCAGAAAATAATGAACATTGAACGTAATAATAGGAAATGTTTCTTGAGCACCAAATCAGCATATTAGAATGATTTCTGAAGGAACATATGACACTGAAGACTACTGAAGATGTAGTTTTCCATGTACAGACGACATCATTGTCAAAGCGATCCCCATTCACAAGGATCTGCGAAAAACAACTAAAAACCCTGTATTCTACTGCCAGGCCGTTAGATGGCGATGAAACACTATAGATTGAACATGTTATAAACATGTATGACATCATCTACAGAGATTCGCTTTTTTGTTGTTTACAAAGAGACCATTTTCAAAAACTTGTACTTTGAAACCCGTTATCAAAACTTTACGTTTGCAGGCACCCAAACCGCTGTTGTCGTGAAAATGAACGTCCAAAGCGCATACAAATATTTTAGTTGAAAAATATTCAACTATACAAAGGGGGGCGCCTTTGTAGCTGGCTATCACCTGCTGTTAGCATCCCATTGACTCCCATTCATTTTGGCGTCACTTTAACAGCGAATAACTTTACATCTGAGGCGTCCAAAGACTCCATTTGTCCATTATTTATTTCTAAAGAAACACGTCAATGTATAAAAGGCTCCATTACTTTGTATGTTACGTTATAGCCCAGTAGAATCTGTTCTTGTAAAAATAGGGTTCTTCTAAAAATTGCGTTCTTCATCCGTTCTTCTAAAAATTGCGTCATAACCACTCGACTGTCCGTCACACAGTAGAGAAGTTACCGTATTGACAGGAGGAGAAGCTTGCACAGCCTCACAGGCAATCTTTTACTGTCTAAAGTCAGCCCATGGCATAGATAGAAGCAAAATGACAAAATAATTAATCAGAACACTTGCCAAAAGTTGCTCCAGGTCGCGCTTTGCCGTCTCTGTACACGATTAAAATTTGTCTTGGCACAGCTACTAGAAGATTTACAACTGTCACTCAGTTTGCTCACGTGACATCTACGTCGTCAAGCTCAGTTTGAGCCTGCGCAGAAAGCTTGGCTATCAGGAAGGAACTCTCTCCATTGAAATCAATGGGGTCGCTGTGTCTATTTCTTTTACTGTCTATGTATCTAACACAGGCCACATTTGCACATTTTCAAACAAGTTGTAATTTACATCAATCCGAATAAATACGCCATCGAGTGCCATCATAACTATGACAAACCTATGGGTGGCAGTGTAGGGAGAAATATAAAGCCATGCAAGCCAATAAAAATCCAGTCGAAAACAACGAATAACACAAGCGACTTCCTGTTCCTTTCAAAGTATACAAAGTCCTTTCAGTTGCATTTGCAAATGCAAAAAGCGTTTGCACAAAAGTTGACAAACAGAACACAATGAAAACTGAATCAAAAACAGAACAGAACACGTGACCTAATACAAATGATTATGAGTGCATATTACAAATGATTTTTAATACCTTCGTCACGTGTCCTTTCATAATGGGCCGTACGTCTGGATGTGTAAAGAGTGGACTAGCAGCTTTGATCCTTAGGACGCTTTGCAGAACCTTAAGCCACTCCTCCAGGAGGTTCGGGGAATCTGCTTTCAGATTACACACACTTTTACCTGTCACCACCTGAGGGGACACAACATCAACATGGAAAGTCATGTGAAATAACATGCTATATCTGAGATCTATGAACAATCTCTCTCTCTCTCTCTCGCTCTCTCTCTTACACACACACACTTTACCTGAAGCATCTGTTTCCCATCACCACGTGCTATAGTGCTACATGCGTTCAGATCAATCTGGCCTTGGGGTTTATGGATGACATCACTCTATGAAACAAAATCACAGAATCTCCGGAAACTATTTGTAGCTTGACCACCATATTGTGGTCACTGGGTTAGCCAAAAGTGCCTAATATTTAGTTAGCATATAGTTATATGTTTAAGCTAATTATATGGCATCAATTAAAAAGTGTGTAAAAAGTGCTTTAAAGAAAACGTACAATTAAAAAAAAAAGTAAATGAAAAACAAGATAATAAAACAGGAAAACAAACAAATTTATAGTAAGAGTCATTTAAACTCACTGGTGATTTGAAGTAGAGAAGCTCCCCATCCTTCAGAACAAACCAGTGCCTCTTCCATGTTTTCTTCCATGTCTTTACCATCTTGAGAAGGTACCCAGACTTCTCCATAGACTCCTGAGATGAAACACATTCTCATTTGGTCTCAGGTGTGACTCACTGAAATGCAAAAATGTATGCATATGGACATGTGTCTTACACTCTTGCCGTTGTCACTGTTGGAGGAGCAGGTCTTTGGTAGCTTGTTTTCAGGTTCAGAGCACTCCGTATCAGTGGAGTAAGCGTCAGGAGGTATGGCATAGTCGCACTCAGATGTCATAGAAGATAATGACACAGCTAAGCAAGACACAACACATTCATTAAAGGTGCAGTATGTAAGAATGAGTGGTTGAAATAGGTACTGCAGTCCAATTCAAAATATCCAGACTGATCTCATGAAGTAGCGTGTGTATGCCACGCCAATTCGTATTTCCATTTTTGGCGTGCTATCAAGATGCATAATCGCTTTTCAGCGTGTTTATGAACGCCGTTGACTTAACGTTATATAAATATATGACTTACCTCAACCCCGTCCCTAAACCTAACCGTCACTGGGGTTAATGGCATTTATGACTGTTCCCTTACCCTCCAAGGTAAAAAAAAAGATATGACTTACCTCAACCCCATCCCTAAACGTAACCGTCACGGGTTAATGGCATTCATGACTGGAGATTTGACTGCGTCTACAGACACGCGGAATGACGCGGACGCGGATACACGCGGATAGCTCAAAATGCGTAGAGATAACACGCCACCTGACTCGAAAGTGGCGTGTATGTTTACGCAAAAGTCATGATGTCATGTTGAAATATCGGAGATCGTCGTTTTTCCCGCCACCTGCTCCTCAGACTGGACAGTGCTCACACGGAAATTGGCAACGTATTATAGACCAAAACAATAACATACATTCCAGCCTGGAAACACCCATTTCACAAATAACTGGCTGTAGAAGTTTTTTTTCTTTCTTTTTTCTTCAGAAAAACAAGTATGTTTGCTCAATATATGCAAACATATCATGGTATTTTTTATTTTAGTGCTTTAGTAGGTATTTTTTATGCTTTAGTCGTGAAAAATTTACATACGGCACCTTTAAGGTGTGTTTGTCTGTAAAGCCCTGTACAATCTTTTTTAATGGGCCAATTTTTAAAGTATAATCATGGGATTTTCTTTTTTGTCCATTTTCCAAAATCACTTGAAATCCTATTCTTAACCCACTTACAGCCACTGAGATAGAAGCACTGAAATGAAAATTAAGCAATTTAATCATCTGTGGACTGGCCAGGACTCAAAAAACTCCAGCCAATCATTTCCAAGACCACCTAGAATCATTGGACAGTCAGTTCGTCAATCAAAAGGTCGTAACATACCCCCCAACCCCCATCGCCCTTGCGCGCGTTACCCTTCGTGTACATACTCAAAGTTCGTGACCCAGTCACAGTAAGAACAGGTGGCCCCGGTACAGATCTCGCGCATCTGAGTTTTGCACATGCATGATTGCGTGCCCATGTTCTTCGAATGGGTGGAGTCAGGGCCAGCATTGGAGGAAAGAAGGTAGGAACTTTTGAGTTGTGTATTTTCAAAATCCGCCAGCCGTTTTGCAAATCCTACGGCGTATATTTTCACAACATTGTCATAAAAAAAAAAAAACTCACTTGTGGCACCTTCCTCCCTCTTTCTACCACTGCTCATGTGCATTTGTTATTATCGGAGCCGGCCAACTTTATCGTGTGAAGCTATGTCTACGAGTGGGTAATACATCATATACAGTTTTATAGAATTGATTCGAATTGCCACAAAGCACTTCGTGTTTCTCGCTTGTTCTCGCTTCTCACAAGACTTCTATTTCCAACTTACTGAACCCGAGGTTGCAAGGTTGGTTTTCCACCTGGGGACAACTCAACCCATCGTCACAATGGGTCACAGCCCATTGCGCAAGTATTTCCACAAGATTTTGGAGTATTTCTGTGGGAATTTTTGCCCATTTGTCCAGGAGAGCATATATATATATATATATATATATATATATATATATATATTTATATATTTAAAGGGACACTTGGCAACTATTTCGACTTAATAAAACTGTTTAGAAATCATTTGAATGGTTTAATAACCTGTTCTGGAGAGTAGGTATGTCACGGTACCAAAACTCCAGTAGTCGGTAGAGAGAATGTTAGTCAACAATGAAAAAGTGGAAGCTATTATACAGTAGCTGTAAAGGGGGGGCCATATATATTAATGTATATGGACCAGATTTACTAACAGCTTGCACCAGCGCAAGCCCTCTTTTGGCGTTAACTTTTGGCGTTAACAACAACTGTCAGGATTTATTAAAGAAAAGCAGTGAAAAAATTTGTGCTGAAAAGGTGTGGAAGGGGGTTAATTTTGCATATGCATTTTTAGGAGTTTCCCTTTCAGATGCAAAATGTATGGAAGGAGAGTTTTTAAATGAACCATGCAATGTGATTTGAGATTTGTGGTTTACTATAGTTTAATTACGGGTATTTGTGGCATTATTGGACACCTACGAAAGTGTGTCTTAAACTAGGTGCCAATTTGCTCTGCTCAATTACAATTAGGTTAATTTTTAGAACCCTAGATTGCGTTGGTCATTATGAAAATGATCTGGCATCTGGTTGTGTTTGAGTTCTTTAATTTGTGTGTTGTCAGTAGATCACGCGCAGAACTCTCCACTCCCATCTGAATTTTTTTGGAGTTGTGCTCTAATACTATTTTGCCCTGTAAATCTGGTCCTATGTATTTAGAATGTGATGTCATTAAAGTCCTGCCGGTGTAATGATCAGGTGTCCCAATACTTTTGTCCATATAATGTGTATACAGTTCTTTGTAAATTGGCTAACTCATTTATTTCTGTCAAGATTTCTTCACATTGGCAGTTTGTAGTGAAGACCTTTGTGTTTCTGTTGTATTTGACGATCAAATGAAATGGTGAAATGAAGTGAACTCTCAGAGCAGCTCTGGAGTTCACTTCATATAACAAGACAGCAGACGCTGAAGACACCATGAACATTACACGTCCAGACATTAGTCTATATCACAATTTGGTTAATTTTTAGAACCCTACTTTTGATTTATTAATCAAAACATTCAATACTATGCAGTATATTCCAAATTCCATGACTGACTCTATGTTCTATGATTCTGTCTGTGTTTTTACATAAATCATAGGAACAATTTTAAATATGTTGTGACCAAAGATTTTTATAGATTTTCCATGAATGTTCCAGTCCTTAATCATTGGATGAGAATTTTTTTAATTTGTAGAGACTGCACTCATAAAGAACACACATTTTAGAGCAATGTTCCAGTGTATTTATTATGAGGACAGACCCACAGGCTAGCTGTGATTGAAGATTTTGCTCAAAGGTACAATGGTGATAACTTATGGATTAATACTTGCAGGGTTCAAACCTGCAGGTGCTTGGTTTCCAACCATGATCTTTAATAACTGCTGCATAATGCGTGTACCTCTCTTAAGTGACCGAGGGCTTCCTCGGCTGCTGCTCTTGTGTGACTCTGATCCAGAGGTCTGACAGTTTTCCTCCTCTCCAGAGTTAGACTGACACTCCTCCGAACTGTCCTCCTCAGAACTACACGACTCCTCAGAGAACTGAATGTTGCATAACAAAGTCGCCTTCTATGAGAGTAAAAACAAATGTGGCAATCTACATAATTAAAATATTTGCTTCTATTACTGATAGAAATGCAGACTCCTATGCAAAAACAATTTCTACAATTAACACTGCAGAGCATCACAGTCTTCACCACAGTCTTGCATCACAGTGTGACAGCCACACACTTCAACAGACAGATAAAGACACACACAGGTCCCTACCCCTTTCATTGAGGTGAAGATGGGTGTATTTGTGTTCCTGTAGATGAGGGATGTGTAGAGCATGTAGGCGGGGCATGAGGATGGGTGGGAAGAGTCTGGAAGAGGAGGACATCACTAGCTATCAGTAAATGCACAATATGATTTAGGCAAGTAAGAAATGTTCATTGATTATTTTGCTGGCCTTGGACTAATATTTACATTTCTATGCAACAATCATTGGCCAAACCAAACGCCATTCTATAACCATAACTTAAAACTACAGCTATTAAAATCAAAGGGTTTATACAAGAAAATAAGAATATTGTTTAAATCTCTAAACCAGGACCCAATATGTGAATGAACTGTAATTATTCAGGGGAATTTGGGCGAATCTCTGGGAAATTTGTCAAGATTTTCTTTAAAATGTAACATTTTGCACCCATAATGCAAAAATAAATAACTAAATAAATATGGTAAAAGGATTCTTGGATGAAATGCCATAAAAATACAGTCACAATGCAAAACAAAAAAAAGGATTTATTTTACGTTCGGCACTATGTAACTTTGAAGTTGAACCGTGGAAATAGGAAAAATGAATGAAATGCACGTGAATGATAATGAAGATATAAAATGAAGAGAGATGAATGAAGGGCAACTGCATGGAAAAAAAAAACTAAAATTAAAAAAGAACCCACCTTTATTAGCATCATCTGTACATGACGTCTCTGACAGACGAATTCCTGATTTTGCCACTGCGTATATTCTGCTCTCCTGCAGATAACATGAAAACACAGGTTTAGCACATAAACTTAAACAACAGCAATTCATTTTACATATCAACTATTAGTTCCAGGAATCACCCAAGAGGGCAGCCTGTGCAGTGGAGGGGTCGGGGGTTTACTCCCGGAAACAGCTGCAGAGGTGTCGGGTGTTTCGGGTTCCTCAGGTGGCACTTCAGCTGAAGGCACATCATTATGTTCTCTTTCACCAGTCTCCATCTTTGGATCTTGGTCCATGTCAGTTTCTTGAGGCCGCAGAGGACGTAGCATGCTGATAGCATTTCGAGTCCGCCCATGGGTGGCTTCACTGTACAATGGAGGCTGACTCATATGCTTCTTAGCCAATGCCAAATTCCGCAGTCGGGGCTGTTTGGGGGAAGCTGGGGTGTCTTGGGTGTCCTGAGACGGGGTGGGCCGCTTTGGTGTGAGAGCTGGAGTTAGGACTGGACTGGAGGTGTTTGTGTCACTGGACGAGGATGAAGAATCCAAACATTGCAACTGGAAGCGCTTATTTAACTCATCTGAGGATCCATCTTCAGCATCTTTCTTTGAAGCGTTCTTGGTGCCAGGAAGACAAAGTCTGGTGCAGTCCACACGCTGCATGTCATCATCAAACAGCGAGCTGCTGTCATCAGAGGCGGTGTGGTATGTCTCACTTGTGGGTCGGCTGAATTGGAAACTTCCAAACAGACTCCTCTCTACCTCAGAGGCAGCGCTAGACAGGATCGAGGAGACACCTCCGGGACTGTCCCGCCCACCCTCATCTTCAGATCCCCCTTTAGAGCAATGGCCAACATACTCTGTTTCTGGGTGGTTTTGTTTTATTTCAGAATCTGGATTGGACCAAACACACAGACTTGGTAAATACATGGATACAAATATTTTGCAAAACATTGTCAAGCCATCTATTTCACTAACTCAGACTCATCACCAAACATGACTCATTTGAGCAGTTCTTTTAGTGAATCAAATGCAGTCATCGCAACCAGTGCAGTGTGATTCCTGAACAAATGACTCTTATGAGCTGATTCTTCTGAATCAAAAACATAAATCACAATGTTAGTGTGGTTACTGTGAATCATAGTGTTATGCTGTCATGCTGCTTAATTTAAACATTTTTGAATTTCTAGATGAGAAACTTTCCTTTTCAAGATGTTTTGTAGGGACAATTAAAACTGGATAATCAAAATGAGATTTTTCCATTAGATTTTTTTAAATTAAATGTTAAAATGTTCTTTTTTTTTATGAAGTCTCATACTCACCAATACTTTATTTATTGAATAACATTATTGAAAAACAGCAATATTGTGAAAAACAATATATATATATATATATATATATATATATATATATATTTTTTTTTTTTTTTTTACTTATTTTAAAATGTCATCCATTACTCGAATCTTCAGAGTCACATGATGCATCAGAAGTCATTCTAATATCATTACATAACATCAGTTTCATTATTAACAGCAGTTTTGCTGCCTACATTTTTTGTGGAAATTGTGATAGTTTTTTTCCCCGAGATTATTTGATGAACAGAAAGTTAAAAAGTAATGCGCCGTAATGCGCCTTGCGGAAGAACATTGTAGCTGGAGCTCCTTTTTTCTGTCTATGATGAGTTACGCAGGTACTAGGGGTGTAACCCCGGCATCCCGGCCAAATTTGCCCAGTGTGCCTCTGTCCATCATGGCCTCCTAATCATCCCTAAATATACCAATTGGCTTCATCACTCTGTCTCCTCTCCACCAGTAATCTGGTGTGTGGTGGGCGTTCTGGCGCAATATGGCTGCCGTCGCATCATCCAGGTGGATGCTGCACATTGGTGGTAATTATTATTATTAAGACCCGTAACAGTCTAAAATGGTCAGAATATAAACACTTACTATAGGTGTACATCAGGGCTGTGTTTAACGGCTATTAGACGTCTTTTAAAAGCAAAATTGCTTGCTGGGAAATATCTTTAATGCCACTTTTGATCAATTTTATTTTGTAATAATTTCTTAATTTCTTTCCAGCCCTGTTGCATCTCAATCAAACTCAGCAGAATATGAACTATTGCTCTCAGTCAAACAACTGAAGATATCAGATCTTCTGACCAGTAGAGGGTCTCTTGCAATCCATGAGTGTGTGGTCATGATCAGGCAGGGTGTCGATGCTCTTCTGGGACGGTTCTGGGCCCGTCAGTACCTGAGGGATCTTCCCTCTGTTTTGGAAACAGCCAAAAGTCAGACTGCTGAGTCGCTTGGCCTCACCCACACTGGGCTGGACTGGGCCACCAGAACCCAAAGTCTGCTCCATGACTAAAACAACACAAAAACATGACACTTAATATATATATATTAAACCTTATATATATACTGTATATATATATATATATATATATATATATATATTCACTTATATATATTTTAAACCTATGCTGTGTTTGCTAGCTCAATTCTTGTTCTTTTATTTATTTGCATTATTTATTTATTTGTTGTTTTGTTAATATTCTTTGCTTTATATATTAAAAACTGAGATATTTTATATATATATATATATATATATATATATATATATATATATATATATATTAGGGCTGTGCAAAAATTAATTACGATTAATCGCATCCAAAATAAAAGTCTGTGTTTACATAATATATTTGTGTGTGCTGTGTATAATTATTTTGTATATATAAATACCTATGCATGCATGTATATATTTAAGAATTATTTGTGCTTAAATTCTGTATATATATAAAAATGCATAATCTAAATTATATAAATATAAATATTTTATATAGGAGTAACACATTTTCTTAAATATATACATACATGTTTGTGTATTTATATATACAAAATAATTATACACAGCACACACAAATATATTATGTAAACACAGACTTTTATTTTGGATGCGATTAATCACAATTAATTTTTGCACAGCCCTAATATATATATATATATATATATATATTAGGGTGCATCAATAAACACAATTCTTGAATTTTGATATGGCTGGGTGCTAAAAGTGTTCCAATATATGTAGAAACAACACATGTAAAATATTTTTCCAGTACATGATGATTTAGGGGTGCCACCGCACATCTGTTTTTGTTGGATAAAGTGATTAAAGGTCCTCAATGTTAGCCATGGAGATCTGAGGTAAACAATACTACAGCTCAAGAAAACTGAGGTGATCTTTCTGTTTGAGGTGATCTTTCTGTGTTGGGTATGTATTATTAGATACTACTATCATATCTGTAATTGTGTCTTTGTATACTTATTTATCATAAGACATTTAAGTCATATTTATAGGCATTTGGTGCTTATTACATCTAGCTAACGCTAGCTATCTAGGTTAGCTAAGCTATTAAGCTTAACATCAACAGTATTCATATACTGACAATGTCATTTTCAGAGTATAGATGTATCATGTTTATTGAGAGTAGCATTGTAGTTGTTACAGTAAATTAACATTTTAAATACAAGTATATTTGCAAGCACAGCTAGCTACTCTGGTATTGATGTAACTGTAAGTTATGATGAAGTTAGACTCAGGTGTGAAAAGGCTGTGAAAAGGAGCTGGAGGAGATGAGGGCAATGTCCAGCTTGGAGTCAGAGGGTGATGAGGAGTCAGAGGAGTATACTGACAAGCAGTGGGCACCATCTCCATTGTGCGCCCTACACTGGGACAGCAAGTTAATACCGATGCTCATGTGCACCAGTTGGAGGAGCTCCAACCAGTGGTGGTTGGAGATGCAGAGCAGCTGAAACTGCTTGGTGTTCCGGTGTATAAGAAGCAGATCTGCTGCTGCACACAATTCAGGGTAAGGCCACGTGAACATGTCCCATTGACCTCCATTCATTTTGTCTATAGGACAAATGAATGGAGAATCTTGAAAGTTGAATTCTGAGAAATGTCCAAGTTGCCCAAAGGGCAAACCAACAACTTTTACTTTGATAACCCTATAGAACATGTTACTGTATAAAAGTTCACTGTACTTATCATTTCTAGGTCAACCTTTTGGCAATTAGGCAAAAAATTGCTAATTTTTCAAAATTTCGCCAAAGTTCATGTGTTAGGTGGCACCCCTAAATCTCAACGGAATTCCTCAAAACTTTGCAAAAGTCATTTTTATATTAATTGGAACAAAATGCAATGCCAGCCAAATTGATGTCTTGAAATTAAATTTTCCCATTCAAATTTGATGCACCCTAATATATATATATATATATATATATATATATATATATATATATATATATATAAATAAAGGATTCGATGAAGTGTGCTCTATTCAATACTGTAAAATTTTACATTTTTTTGGTGTTAGTCAAAGTTGATAAAAATGTTGATAAATGTTCTCTCAGTTTAATCTTAAATATCACTAATAAAAAAACAAAACAAAACAAAAAAAACTCATCAACAAATGTTTTATGAGTATAACACTGTACACACTGCAGAACTAGCAGGATTTAATAATGGTAGCACTTGGTAGAATGTTATTGTGAACATAGCCATGATTGAACCTACTCTTTGATCACATGCACGATTACCTTGCAGTTGTCTTCTTAGGTCTTGTATCTCATTTTCCTGTTGTTGGTTGATCTCTCTCAGAGAGGCATTCTCTATATCAAACTACAAGAATAATAATTGTGATCACAAACGTTCACACACTCCCCCAGATATTTATCTCTTTCTAAAAACATACAAAGAGCATTAACATACTTCATTCAACTTCCGTATGACCCATTCTTTGATCTTAGCTGCTTTTTCTTCCACTGTCTTGGCATCTTGAATTCGGTTCTGTTTCTGAAGGTATAAAACGTAATGAATTACTTTTTTTAATGGATTTAAATAAGCATTTTTGTATACTGATGCAAACCTGATGGTTTTAATGACTGGAAGTATGACTGACCTGTTCCTCCAGCTGCTGCTCTAGGGTGTCAATAAGCTCATCTTTCTCCTTCAGTCCCGCTTGAAGATCTTGACAGCGCCTGAAAAGCTGCAGCTCTGAATCACTCGACTGGATATCTGAAGTCTTTAAACGCTCTTCCATCCACTGCACCTGCAACAAACACATGCACGTATACACAGTGCTAATAAATGTTACATGATCATATACCAAAAATGTATATATAAACACTCACAGGTTCAACTACACCAATTCAACTGCTCGTTAATACAAATATCTAATCAGCCAATCACATGGCAGCAACACAGTGTATTTAGGCATGTAGACATGGTCAAAACAATCTGCTGAAGTTCAAACTGAGCATCAGAATGGGGAAGAAAGGTGATTTAAATGACTTTGAGCGTGGCATGGTTGTTCGTGTTGGACGGGCTGGTCTTAGTATTTCAGAAACTGCTGATCTACTGGGATATTCATGCGCAACCATCTCTAGAGTTTACAGAGAATGGTATTAAAAAGTGAAAATGTTCAATGATTGGCAGTTCTGTGGCTGAAAATGCCTTGATGATGCCAGAGGTCAGAGGAGAATGTCCAGACCTGTTTGAGCAGATAGAAAGGCAACAGTAACTCAAACAACCACTCATTTCAATCGAGGTCTGCAGAAGAGCTAGCCTGGCATGCCAGACCTACATCAAGATGTTAGGTCTGGAAACTCTTCATTGACAGGGCTCAATCCGAGGGGCGGGATAAACGGTTGTCTTTCTCTCTGCACGCAATTGGATAGCGCTAAAGCCAATCAGAGCAACAAAGACGGTGACGTACTCAGCGGAGCAAGTTGATATATTAAACTTTTACCGTATCCAGTCCGGCTGTCAACATTGAACATTGAAAATAAGGGAGAATTCCCGGAATCCATCCCCAAAATAAGGGATTTTTTTGTTTGTTTTTTACACGACCCACAAACTTTAAAAATAAAACACTAATCATTAAAAGTCTAAAGAGTTTATAACTAGCCAACATATGTGTGAGAGAGAAAGAGACAGTGTGTCATTAAAAAAATAATATCAGAGAGAATGTTTAAATATTAATATCAGCTTACGAGGGAAACGGAGGCGGAGTAGTGGTGCTTGCTGGAGATGATTCGGGAGAGGTCCGTGCACCTATACCGATCAGAGCGCGCGCTGACACGGAGTAAAGCCTTTATACTCGACGTGACAGCACGAGCGCGGGCGGCAAATATGACAAGTTGATCATTTCGCCACAGCTTTTTTGTAACAGCGCGCGCGGCGCCGGCCGCATCCGAGGATGAACGACTTCAAACCGAATATGTCCGAGGCCGAGCTTGCTCTGACCGTCGCAACTCTGTCATCATTATGTTAAGCCCGCCCTCCGACTCTATACACGATGTGATTGGCCCTACCGGAGTTGGGGTTTTCCAGCTCAAACGTCTATGGAGAGTTGCTAGACCACACTTTGCTGCAAAATAATTTTTGCTGCCGCTAGGGTGCGTCTAGATTTCTAGGCTACAGAAGAGCATCTCTGAACTGACAATAGAGGGAATGCATTGACATCACATTCCTGCCGGAACAACCCCCCTCAGCCTGACTGAGTGGCAAAAGATCTGCTGCGTGACTGGATTTAATAGGGGAAACAGCGAAAATGCTACTATAACGGACAATTTCAACTAAATGTTTATTTAAACTACATTCAAACTAAATCTCAATTTAAACTAAATGTTGGACTCAATAGTGTTGCATCTTACTAAAGATCCAGTGATCCATGGATATTGACATGCAGCTAGGTGTTGCCTGACATTTATGTTTGCCTGATTTCGACACCGGGGAAATAAAAGCAATATAGACCTAAACATAAAGCAAATTTGCCTGTGAACGATTTATATAAATACAATATAGGAAGGTCTAAATCCGGGTGATCACTTATATCAGTGTTATAACCTATATATCATCATATCGTCCAGCCCTAAAACTTTAGAGTTTTTTTTTTTTTTTTTGGTCAGTGTTTATTAAAAACATCCAATAATGCAGAATATGCAATAATAAATATTTAATTGATGAGTTGTTAATATATATAACAATACTAAATATATGGGTATGGTTTTACACCTAAATTCAGCATATTGACACAAAATGATAACTTCAAATCCACCTTTCGCTGACTGGAGTCCAGTTGTTTCTGTGAATTGCAGAGATTAATTTGCTCCTCTTTCTATAGCAGTCTGTAAAAATATACCAGACTGCTTTTTTGTCAAATCTAGTTGTACAGTCAATCGCAAAGCTCTTTTCCACTTTTTATGTGTTGTGTTTGTTTTTTGCGGCATTCACAGTGAAAACATACAGCTGCTCAGTCTTTTTGCCACTCACTGTGAGTAACTGCAGGCACCCCGGCCGACAGTGACGTCACGCGCATTCCCTCTATACATCAAATGAAAAACGTAGGAAAAACATTGCCCGCAGCCAAAAAAAGCATGCAAATATGGACCAAAATCTCAAAACCTTGTTGAATGCCACGAAGAATTATATATATATATATATATATAAATAAATATGTATATATACTGTATATATATATATATATATATATATATATATACACACACACACACAGAGATATATTAGTACTGGGTTGGACATCTTTTTATCAAGAAAGCTCTTTTATAATAAACATAATAAGTGCTACCATTGTTTTCAAAGATGTGCAATCTTTACTGTTAATAACCTGTGTGTTAATGTGTTTTAGTGTTTGAATGTCCCTTTGAGAACAGAATCATAATTCAAATGAATCAAATACATACAGTACATCTCAAATATTTGATGAAATGTCCACAAAAGTGTTACTAGCATTTACCTGCTGGTTGGCTTCATATGCCCGACGCTCTGCTTCCAACACTTGCTTCTCCAACTGCTGCATCTGAGAGAACAAGAACTATGAATGAATGAGCAAAGGAGCTGTGTTTGTGCATGTATGCATGGACATGATAAATATTCATATGAAAGTCTGCTTTCATTTTTCCTCTATGCCATGGGCAAAGAATAAGCTCTTAATAAAACGTCAATCCGTCCCCTGTGCTTTTTTTCGGCTAAGTGTGTTCATGTAGAGGTTTTCATGGACCAATATGAATAAATCCAATTTAAATTGAAAGATACAAGATACTCTATGCATGACCAGACACTTTATTGTAATCCAAAATGAGGCAATGTCAGCATTATGGAGCGCTAAAGTCCGTTTATTTCATACTAGAAGCCGGAGGGTGCCCTCATACAAAAAGTATGCAAGTGGGAGGATATCATTTAAGTGTAATGAGTGAAGACAGAAGAACCCATAACTCTCCCTCTACGCATTAGATCCACAGAGCTGGACTGGGTCGAGCTAGACCCAAGCAAGCACCACTTGCGCGTGAGGCTCACAGAAGTCATTACACTTGACATTCCTCCTAATCCGTTAATGTAAAAAGGCATCCAGCTATCACTGTACCTGAACAAAAAGCAGAAACGAAACATTTTGACTGATGAAATGTAAAGACAATAAATACATGATTGCCACAAATATATGGGTCATGTGTGTTTTTCAAGCAATCTCAGGTTATTTACATAACAATAAAGTAGAATAATGCAGTGCTTATTGACATCGCCTTAGAAATTATGAAATATATTTTCTGCCTTATTCTGCAATAAAATGTTAAGGCCCATTCACACCAAGAACAATAACTATAAAGATAACTACTGTACATTAGTGGACACACCAGCGGACGGTGTCATTCAGTTTATTCTAAGCGTGTGCTTGTCTAGCTCTATAAAGCAAGATTGCTTCTGATTGGCTGTCAATGTTTTTATCATTCATCAGCTTGAAAAAATGTTTTATTTCTTTGTGCCATTATTGGTATAGCTGTGGTGTAAACTCTGCCATTGTTTAATATTGAGAATGATTTTTAGAACAGTATCTTTATTGTAATATGTATATTATATATGTAATAATATTATATTATAATATTATCACCCTTGTTGAGAATGGTTCTTTATAGTGGCTTTAAAAAACACGTTATTCCTTTTTTTAACATTGATAAAATCCAAGATGACTTAACGCACAAGTGTTTGTAGTAGTCCTACATAAACAAATTATAAAATTGTCATTAGGAAAATATGGGATAGTAAAAATATTTTAGAACATTAAAATTATTGTTTGTTGTAGGACAGTGTATTTCATTTTTTAGCTACCTAAAAGTGAGAGATAAGAAAAATAAAACCTGTCAATTGCAAAGGTCAGAATAAACAACTAGTATTACACATACTATAACGCTCTATGCATAACATATTCCATGCATTACTAAGGGAAAAGGCCAGCTGGTTTTGTAAATAAATATCCTCTGAGCAAGGATTCCATCTTTTTATACATATTTCTCTAATAGCGTATTGTCAGGAATGCTGCATGTCCATTTTAAAATAATTTTTACCAAAGCAGGAATGCTATTCTACATTACCGTAACATTCCATCAGGTCTTTTTTTTTTTTTTTTTTTTGGATGAGAAGACCATGAGAACATTTCCTGTAGAAAGTTAGGAAATGCAAAAACTACTGTCCAAGCAAAAACATTTGCCAAAGTCCTGAAGCTGTGTTGTATTGAAATGAAAGATATTTTAAATTCTGTGGTAAAGCAGTGGTGATGATTCAGTAGCTGGTCATTTTGGTGACTTTACCGTCATCAATTATTAAAGGGATACTCCACTTTATTTGGAAATATACTCATTCTACAACTTCCCCAGAGTTAAACTGTTGAGTACCGTTATTGAAACGATTCAGCCGATCTCCGGTTCTAGCGGTCCCACTTTTAGCATAGCTTAGCATACATCATTGAAGTGGACAAGAACATTAGCATTTCTAAAAAAAAATGACCAAAAAGTTTCGATATTTTACCTATTTAAAACTTGACTCTTCTGTAGTTACATTGTGCACTAAGACCGACGGAAAATGTAAAGTTGTGATTTTCTAGGCTAATATGGCTAGGAACTATACTCTCATTCCTGCGTAATAATCAGGAAACTTCACTGCCGTACCGAGTGCAGCAGGCGTAATGACTACACAAACTTATGCTGTGTCCGAAATCACCCATTACTCACTATATAGTGGACTATATAGTGAGCTCGCCATTTTGTAGTGCTGTCCGAATGTATAGTGATGATTATTAGAACCTATATAGTCCATTCAATGTATCCCAGAATGCATTTTGAAAAGTAGTGTACAACCGATGGTCACTAACCTAAGCCCTACAAACCATCATGCATTGCGCTGATCATAAAAATAAGTTAATCATGTGTGGAGTAGCGCATTATAACAAAAACGGCCAGAAATCACTTTTAGTTTTTTAAATTTTGAAGAAATAAGCTCAATATAATGTAATGTATTTATTTTTAAAAATCTATTTGGCCCAGAGCCGGCTCGGCACCAGCTGACAGATGATGTAATCAACGGCGCAGAGAGACGATCGAGTAGTGTCCGAAAGTGGTGTTTCTATTATGCTCGTGAGCTCACTATATAGTGCTCTGCTATCTACCCCCAACATAGGGGGTAGGGAGTAGTGCTTTGAGTGGAGATTTCGGGCACAGCATTAGTCTCGGTAACGTTGGAAGCTGGGGACTATTTTCAGGCGCTGCGTCATATCATTACGCCCGCTGCACTCATGGTACGGCAGTGAAGTTTCCTGATTATTACGCAGGAATGAGAATGTAGTTCCTAGCTATATCAGCCTAGAAAATCGCAACTTTACATTTTCCGTAGGTCTTAGTGCACGATGTAACTACAGAAGAGTCAAGTTTTAAATAGGAAAAATATCGAAACTCTTTGGTCATTTTTTTTTTTTTTTTTTTTTAGAAATGCTAATGGTCTTGTGTACTTCAATGATGTAAACTAAGCTATGCTAAAAGTGGGACCGCCAGAACCGGAGATCGGCTGAATGGATTCAAAAACGGTAAAACTCAAAAGTTTAACTATGGGGGACTTGTAAAATGAGCATATTTCCAAAAAAGTGGAGTATCCCTTTAACATACATTTCAGAAAATTTTGACCACTTTATTCTCAATCCTCAAAGTTTCAAGTTGAGCTCTGATATAAATTCCATATTGCTCAGTCTAAACAAGCACTTCACACATTCAGGGTCTTAGTTGTGCCCAGATTGGAGTTTGCTGAATGGCTCTTGGAAATCTAATGTGGAAATCTAATGCTTATATTGTGCATTTTTATTTAATTGAGTAATCAATTTTCAAATACAAATTAAATGCTCAGTGTAAATAATGTAAATTAAACATTTTTGAGATTTTGGTAAAAAGTAGAGCCAGGCCGATATATCGGCAGGCCGATATTAGGCATTTTCGGTATCGGCAGTTATAATGGCCGATAAATGAATATTTCAAAAATAAAATAAAAACGGACGAAACACGCTTCAACCATATCATGAGTGTTGGAATTGTATAGTTTGTCCACCCGAGGGCACTCTACACCGTCCCTGCTAACCACAAAGTTAGCTAATGCCACTAACATCAGTGGAATATCGCTAACGTTAACATTAATGAGCTTTGGTTCCTCTGTTCTGTTGTGACAATAAAATAAACAAGTTTCTTTTCAAAATGCATTATCATACTATTTTAGTTAAAACTCATACATAACTACAAATAACTAATGTTATGGAAATCTGTTAATGTTTTGTTGTGCGTTTCTGAAAAAAAATAAAAAATAAATAAAAAATATCGGCTGATATATTGGAATATCGGATTTTAAAACCAACAAATATTTGTAGAGGTATCGGCCTTCAAAATCCTTTATCGGTCGGGCTCTGGTAAAAAGTGCATTTTTTTTTTGCTCATACAATTTTATTGGTGGACACTTTATAATTAAAGATTTTATTTTTTATTGAGAATGTTATTTTTATTGGATTACGGTAATTCGAATTTAGAGGGTGCCCAACTGTCACAAAAAAGGTTAATAAATTAGCTTTCTTTTAAGCATGTTTTGGGGTCTTCTTTTAATTATATCTTTTTGATTTATGTGTGGGTGTTAATTGCTGGAACAATTTGCTTGTTTCTACTTTGGCATGAGCTCAATCAGCAACCTGTTTCATTTCACAGAGTTCCCAAAGGAGAACACACAAATATGACCTAACACGCTACTAATAGTTACTGCTGCTGCACTCATATTTTCCAATGAACACCACACAAAAGTGTTCTATGCAGTTGTGTATGACTGAATAATGTTCTGATCTTTCTAACAGCCTCTCTTGTTTACAAGCCACCGTCATTAAAGATGTTTAATAAGACTCAATGCATAGCGGACTACTGACAAAACTGTCATTGTGATGACTCTGATGGAACGATACAGCTCATATGTAAACCTTTTCTGCTCTAGGCCTCTTGGAATTAAGTTAAAGCACATTTTGTTGGATTTGTTAATGGTGCATTATATTAGGCAGAGCCTGATGAATGACATAAATCTCTTATTCACTGATGGTGAATAAAAAGATTTACGAAGACTCTGGTTAGTTTTCCATCAAAAGTCTATTCCTATTCAGTGTTTAGGGAGCCAATTCCTAGACTAAACCAAAGGGTGTGTCCCCAAAACACACTGATGGTCAGAAATACATCACGGACTCTAAACACACTCGTTATTTATATATCATCTTCACACACAGCCACTATCCCCACAGACTATTCATACACATATGTGTAACTACAGATGTGTTCATACCACAACAACCACACATACACACATATTGTATACACCCATCCTCATCTGTGGTCAAGCTGGTCCACCACCGACCACTGAGGCAGATATAGAAAATAAAATAAAAACAGCAGAGTAATTACAGACTGTTCTGAGACAGCTGCACAAACCATATTCTGACCAGTTGAGCCACAGGTTAATGCA